GGGTGGGAAATATGGAGGAGAGGACAAAGTAAGGAAGGAAAAAAATGAGAGGGAGATAAACAGCAGGGAATGGAGATAGAGAGGAAAATGCAAGCAGCAAAGAGATAAAAAAAAAAAAAAAGAACAGGTTGAAGAAAGGCAGAGGGGTGAGAGTAAAGCACAAGATAGTGAAAGAAATGAAAAAAAAGATGGCAGTGTGGTAGAGAAAATCAATTATACAAGGAAAGGAGAAGAGGGAAAGAATAAAGAAAATTTTAATAAATTATATATGTATGTACTGTATAATTTTTATATTCAACATAACTGGTCTTCTCCCACCGAGGCAGGGTGATCCAAAGAAGAAAACTAAATTTTTCCTTTTTACATTTAGCAATTCACACAGGAGAAGAGTTATTAGCCCCTTGTTCCCAGCATTTTAGTCGCCTCTTACGACACAGATAACTTGAGGAAGGATTCTTCTCCATTTCCCCATGGAGTATGTACATAGGTGTATATATAATATACATATATATACATATACGTACATGTGCATGCAGGCACAAGCACACACGTGCGCACACATGTGCACACACACAGTAAAACCTTATTTAAGTTAATTACATTCCTGAAAACTGCACTTAATTTAAAAAAAAAATTAAGTGAAAATTAATGAAGAACATAGGCATAAAAATAGGGTTGCGTACCTCAGACCCCCAAATTGCCCACGTTTTATCCTTTTTACATCATGTAATTTTTAAAAAATAATGTAACTGTAGTTGTATGTAGCAATGTGCACATATTTAATAAAACAGTTAAAAGTTCAAATGTTAATTTTTTTTTTTTTGACCTTAAATTGTGGTTTTTGGTGTATGTCAATTAGGTTAGGTTAGGTTAGTTAAGCACCACCCACATTTCTTTTGAATTTCTTTCTTTCTCATCGTCACTGAAGAGTTCATTCAAGTCTTCTTGTTGGAATTTTTCAAAGCCTTCACCTGGCAATCTCCTTGACAGCTAAGCAACTTCCTGGACCTGACTCAACTAAGAGAAAACCTGTGAAATTATTCACAACACTAGGCCATACTTTTTCCTATTTGCATTTAATATTCATTGGAGCACTTCATTTCTTGCACTTTTTATGAAGTTGATGGAATCTGCAATTTTATGTCTCTTGGTATAATTTAATTGAATGAAATAGAGATGATTTTTTGTTGGTTTCAGGACCAGAAGTAGCTTAAAATTGGGCTCAAAGTAGCCAAAATAATCAGTTAAATTCCCCTGTCCTCCAGTCTGCTTTATGGGGTTTTAACCCTTTGAAGGTAGACAGGCCCTCCCCGAGACTTGTTCTCAGAGTTGGCCAAATTAAAAAAAAAAAAAAAAAAAAAAAAAAAAAAAAAAAAAAAAAAAAAAAAAAAAAAAAAAAAAAATATGAAAAGATAATCTTTTCCCGATCATAATGACACCAAAAGTATGAAATTTGATGGAAAACTTAAGGAATTATGCTCTCGTGAAGTTAGTGGTCTCGACGATGTTTACGCATCAGCAATTTTGCCCACTTTGAGCTCTATTTTAGGCCAATTCCAGCGTACTAGTAGACAAAAATCATAACTATTTCTCTAGAACTCCATTTTTTCTATTGAATGAGTACAAGAAAGCACCCATTTACTGATTTCAACTATCCAATAGAGTGGTCAGAATTTAGCAATTTTGCCAATTTCACACAAATTTCAAATGATGCCAGTTTCCAAATAGGGTCCAGAATAAACAAGAAAGACATTCCTGGCACTAAAATAACATTTCCTCTGTTCGTTAGTCACATCCCCAGGCCCCTCTTATATTTCTTTGGCTTTCCACTTTCAATTTTTATTCTTACAAAAAAATAGAAGATTTACTGTTATGCAGACTGCTGCATTAGTGTAGAAATGGTATAAATAATATCAGCACACTTGTGAAAGAATATTAGACTCACCAGTTGACGTGTATTGGACGCTTGGCATGATTTGTTTACTTTTGAACTTTGGTAAAAATCGAACATTTCTGCTACTTTGAGCTCAATTTCAAGGTACTTTTCATTGTAAAACCAGTCAAAATCATCTCAATTTCTGTAACATGTCTTCCATTCTATAAAATGAGACCAAGAAAACTAGAATACAACAATAAATACCATACATAAATACAGTGCAAAGTCGCTATTTTATTCCAAAAACACGGTCAAAGATTTTTTTTTTTCTCATTACGCACTGTGTGCTGCAGGATTTTTTTTATACTGCGCACACTGACCACACAGACCCATTCTTTCATATGTATGCCTACCAGCTTTCTCCCACTAAATTTGAGGGCGCTAGAATTTAGGCGTACTAGTACGTCAAAAACCCTGGTCGTAAGCCGTACTAGTACGGACGAAACCCTCAAAGGGTTAATAGGTCTGATTCAATTATTGGAACACCATAAACCATGACCAAT